GCGGGTCCGAGGACTCCTGGGTGCTACAGCACACTCTGTCCTAGGGAACCCAAGTTATGCCATGGCTCCCCTTGGGATGTTGCCTCAGCATCCCAAATGGGCAAATCTCATCCTGAGGATATTCAGAATGCCCCCACTGTCTTTCAGTGCCTCAGTTTCCCCCGCTGCAGAGCCCTAGGGAACAGGACGGGATGAAGCCTCAATCCAGGGCTCCTGGGTGGCAGAGCACCTTGCTAAGCAGCCCTGTGCCCTTGGTCTGCTCATGCCAGACCCCGGCTCATCCCTGCCTGCCTTCGGCTTCTGCAGATCAGCTCCCCCTCCATCTCATGGGGCTGCCTGATTAGCATCCCATTAACTGAGAAAGCTAATTAAAGCAGACTACCACCCACCAGCCGCCATCTGCCTCCCCTCTCCCCTCCCTGAGCTCTCGGCCAGAGCTGTACACAGGAAAGAGGACCACGGTGTCAGCTGCGCAGGGAGGAAATCCCCTGCAAACCACACAGATTCTCCTTGCCAAGCTCTAAGCTGTGGCACCCTTTGGGGTCTCCTGCTATTGGCACATCACACACAGCCATCATACCCCAAACAAGAGCACTGGGGAAACCCATCCATCCTGCCTGCCCCTGAGCCTGGAAATTAGCTCCATCTCCCCCATGCAGCCCTGAGCAGAGGATTCCCTGGCGAGAGACCTCTTTCAGATGCAATCTGCTTTCCCTGGGCATTGCACAGCAGAGGTGCACAGCAACTGCTGCAGGACACAAGCCTGCCCTCCACCCATGGGTGCCCAGCAAGGACAGCCAGCCACAGTGCCATGTCTAGCACTCAGATAGACCCCAGGGCTGGACACCCAGCCAGGGGTACGATAACCCTGCAGGTCCCCTCCGCTGCCCTTCCCCAGCCAGCAGCTCCTACCTCTCTTCCTCCACCAGGAGCCTTCCCGCACAGAGTAGGACAGGTCAATGAATTCGATGTTGACAGCTGAGCGCTTCGGGAGGTGAGAAAACCTCTGGGCCTCTGTGATGTGGTTCTCAACCTTCTTCAAGTGGGTGGTGAGGAGCGGGGCATCGGCAGGGCTGGCGTGGCACACCGTGTCCTCCAGGGCAATGGAGACACATGTGGGATCCATACCCTTCTCTGCCATCCTGCTGTTGGAGATGCACAGGGACTGACTCACTGTGAGTCCCTAAACCAGCCTACAAGTCCTTCCACATCCTTTCCTGCTGGCCCCCTCTGCCCTGTGGTACATTGCCCAGCTCTAGTGTGGCTCCCACAGCTAGATAGAAGGATGGACTTGGCCAGAGAGCTGAACTTGTGCCTAGGGGCTTACAGCGAGGTGATCAGTCAATAATTCATGCACCTCCTGTGGCTGGTCCAGCTCTGGCAGCAGAGCTAGCAGGCTGTTCAGCCCTACTGCTGCTGGCTAGCTGCCCCATTTCTCTCCACCATGGTGGGCACAGGATAGGAGGTGGGATAACTGATGTTCTGCCCTCAACAGGAGATGCCCAGAGGTGCCTCGAGGGCCCTAAGGGCTCCCCAGGAGCTGCCCGTGCCTGGCCCATCCAGGACTCAGGGGACATGGGCATGGAGTCCCAAGCAAGCAGGCTTTTCCAGCCAGCTTCTCAGACAAAGCACAGCATGCCTCACCCAGGTTCCTGAGGCAGGGCAAACCTGCCTTGATTAGACACTCAGCTGGTGTCCAGGATCCCCATGGGCTTCCTTGGTCAGCCTTAATAGAACAGGGAAGGGACCCTACTACTGCGAGTCCTTCTCTGCTTCCCTTGGCTCATTTCACCTTCCTGGCCCTTACCAACACAGCCTCAGAGACCAGGCCAGTACTTAATTGGGGCCATTGCATGATGCTAATATGCACACCTGCCCAAACGTTCTCTTGCTGGGCAGTGTTATCTGCCTGCAGCCCTCCCCACAGCCGGCTGCAGCACGGCCAAGCTCCTCGCATCTCCGCTTGCCTTGCAGATTCCGCGGTGCTGGGGGGGGGATGTTAAGCCAAGTAGAGTGTGGAACCCTCTAACCCCAGATCCCACTGCAGCACCAAAGACTGGGGGGAGGCTGGGGATGCCCACAGCCCTGGGAAAAGGAGCCTGAGGAGGCTGGGCCCGGCGCCCATGTCGCCTCCAAGGCTGGGGTCCTATCGCTTCGCTAACCTACATTGTGTTGAGAGCAGGCTGCAGGCAGCTCCCCGCTGTAGCTGCAATGCACACACACAATTCCCTGGAAGGAGCCGCGCCGAGATCTTCCCAACCCTCTCCCCGCTGCAGATAGATCCCTTTCAGGACTGCAAGGAAGCCCGCCCCAGCCCCGGGGAAGAAGAGGTAGGAGCGAGGACCCCAGCGCTCAGCACCCGCTTGGCACCGCCGTGTCATGCAGCCCCCAGGGTGCGGGCCAGCGGCAGCGGGGGGCTCGGAGCGGGAGAACGACACCGCAGGCACAAAGCGCCCTCGGGCTCACCTTGACTCCTTCGGCCGGGCGCACAAGGAGCTCTAAATCCCGCAAGCCGCTCTCCGCGGCTTAGCCCATCCCCGGCACAGGATGCTCTGCCTTGCTCCCCGGGCAGCGGAGGGGTGTCCCCGCAGGCTCACCTGCAGGCTGCGGGCGCGGGGCTCCTCTCGGCGGGGTCCGGCCGTGCTTCCCTCCGCCGCAGCGCCCTCCGCCTCTCACTTCTCCGCAGACAAAGGGGCGATGCCCGCGGCGGGGGCTGGGAGCGGCTCGGCGGCGGCTCCGCCGGTGCTCAGCGCCGGCAGCCGGGCTGGGCGCTGTCCCCGCGGGTCTCCAGCCGGGGTCCCCTCCCCATCCCTCCGCAGGGCTGGGCTGGGCGGCGGCCGGGCGGGCAGGAAGGGATGGAGGGAAGGAAAGGGTCCCTCCGACCACCGCCCAGCAGTCGCTATCAGCACACCCGAGCGCGGCTGCTCGGCGATGCCCCTCTCCTCCAGCTTTGTGGCTGCCGCTGCCTCTCAGGGTGGCAGGATGGGCTGCCCAGGCAGGCAGCACTGCCAGGCAGCGAAAATCCTCTTAAAGGGACCGGCCCTATTTCCTCTCCCTGCAAGCTACCAGGCCCTGAGCATCCCTAGCGCACAAGCCTGGGGTTCACTAGCCCTGTCTCCGCATGCTCCCAGCAACCCTCCTCACTGCCTGCTCCTGTTCACATACGGGACAGAGCTCACCGCAGCTCCCTCCATTGCCACCTCAGCCCAAAACTCCGTGAAATAAACACCCCCTAAGTCAAGTCCTGCCCGGGACACTTCTGACACCGCTTAGTCGCTGTAGATCCACCCCAAGAGGGGCACAAGCTGGGTGAAACCGGGGCTGCAGCACAGAGTGCTGCCTGGGAAGCTCATACCAGGCATCAAGAGCCAGGGCTGGTAGTGATATAGGTGGCCAAATAGGGGCTTGATAGAGGAATGCACCTGCTCAGGGCTTTACCCACATCACACACTCACTTCTGCATCTCTTCAAGCAGGACCTGCCATCCCCGCCCTCGGCAGCACCACGCCTGGCTCCACGCTCGCTGTTACTCACACCTCTCCCCCACCACAGCACTTAAACACGAGAGACATATGGAAATGAGCTGCACTAACAAGAGTATTAATTAAAAACCATCTGTTGAGCCAAGGAAAGCTTCCCCCCTCCCACAGCCAGCCTTGGACTGGGACAGAGTTTAGGGCAGTGATTTGGCTCCTCGGCAGAGAAGATTCAGCCAGTGGGGCAGGACAGCCCACAGGCTGGGATTAGGGAGGGCACAAGGAGGTAGTAATGGAGCCAAGCTCCATACAGAGTCTTAAGTAGTCTCCTCACAGAGCAAAAGGCACGCTGGACCTATCCAGTTTGGTCTGTATTCAGCACCCTGACTTCCACCCCCAGGGCACTCACCGTTAGCAGGTCCCTCTGCACAGTACCATAACAGTCCTGTGTCCCTGCAGGTGGGCACAAGCAGGGGCTGGAGGTGAACCCCTCAATGTCAAAGCCCCTTCCTTCTCAACTGCTCAAGCCTGGTTTGGGAGCTACTGAGACCAAGCTGGTGGCCACGCAGCAGCCAGCAGCTGCTGCAGCATCCTTTTGTGAAGTTGTTTCAAAGGGGAAGGCCAGCAGGGATGGGAGTCCAGTGCTTGTAGGACCTTCCTACAGTGACCTTAATCACAGTGGTGTTCCCATGGTTGCTCACATGTTCAGAACATTATCAGTGGCAGGGGGAGCCTGTCCGGGCTCTGTCCAGGGCTTCAGTGACAGAGGAGGCAGGAGAATCTCTTTGCATGATGGGAAAACCTGTGTAATTTCCTGTAAACATACTTTTAATTACCCATGGTGGTGGTGCTGGTCCTCCAGCTCCCCTGGCAATCCCATCACACGTGTTCCAGACCACCTTTTCCTTCCCTGGGGGAATAAAGTACCTGACTTTTCCATTGCTGCTTCGGAGAGAGCCAGGGCAGTTCCCAGGGAGCACAAGGCTGGAGCCGGATACCAGTGTCAGCATGAATGCAAGCCACTGAGCACAGCCCCAGTGAGGAGGGAATGATCATTGAAGGGGAGAACAAAGAGTTTAGGGAAGGAAGCCTGTTCAGAAACCCACTCCTGAGAAGAGAGGTGGCAGAGCACAGGGTTACCACAGTGCCCGTGATGGCTGCTCCTGCCAAAGGCCACATTAATAGCAGCAGGGCACAGGCTAACAGGCCCCATGGTAGGCAATGAGGGCCCACAGCCCAGCTCCATTCTCAGGTGCTCGGAAGGAGACATTGGGGACCCATGCACCAGGTCTTTTCCTCCATCTATGGGACCAAAGAGGGTCCTGCTGTGCTCAGGACAGCCTCTTATACCTCCTTACCCATTTTACTTGCAGGACATCAGCTTCCATGTGTCCCCAAACTGTTAAAAGTCCCTGGGGAAAGGGGCTCTCAGGGCAAGAGTGTAGACACTTCAAAGAAGCATGCCCTGAAGCCAGTGTGTGGACCACATGGCCATGGGAAAGGCTTTGTACCTGAGAGCTCACGCAATTAGCTGTTCTGGTCCTAGCACTCCCAGGGAGGCTGGGGGGCAGTTTGTCCCACTCTAACACTTGATTCTTCAGCAATGGGTGGTGCAGCACTGGTCAGGCTGCTCTGGCCTGAGAGCTCTGACCATGGCATGGAGATAGTGAGCAGGCACGTGTTCTCTCCCTCCTAAAGGGGACATGAACCTTCTCTAGGAAGCAGCCAGGCAAATGGGGGTCAAGACAGCACCATTCCCAAGCCCAGCTGCAGGAAACGCATGCAGCTCCTCAGTGCCTGCTGCTCATAGAACATCCCCTGCCAATGGAGAGTCATGGGATGGGGCCAGGCAGGAAGGCAGCCCTACAAGAGAGCGAGTCCAGAACATCTCCTCTCCTCTTAGATGACAGCCTTGAAATGCATGGAGCTTAAGAAAGAAGAACAGCAACGGAGACACTGATGAAGGTAAGCAGATATCCAGGGTTGAAGCCTCCCTCGGCATGGGGCCAGCCCTGGGTGGCCCAACTCTATCCAGAGGAAGCTGTAAGGAGAGCAAAGGCAGCAGATTTTGAGCTGTTTGGCACCCCCCAGCTCTCACTGTCACCCTCTCCCACAAAACAATGAGGGAGGCCCTTACCAAAGGTGAGCAGCAGCTGTCAGGACTCACCACACGGGACATAGCAGTCACACTCGCAGACATCACAGCGCAGGAACCAGCGGGCCCAGCCCGAGTGCTTGGTGACACAGCCCGAGATCTTGATGCAGCCGCGTTTGAGGAAGGCTCCCAGGTGGGCCTGGGTGCTGCAAGATGAAGAGCATCTCCCAGTGATGTCCCTCTCACTGATCTCAATCCGACCTCGCAGGCAGATCCCTGCAAGAGCAGAGCCAGAGCCCATGACAGGCTGCCCACCAGCCCTACAGCTGGGAGAAAAGAGACTGGAGACCTGCCTGCAGCCCTCACCCAGCAGTACTCACGGAGGCAGGTAGGCTTGGGGGTCCAGTGGCCGTCGGACTGGCAGGCACTGGCTGGGTCCCCCAGCAGCAGGAACCCAGGTCTGCAGCTGTACCGCACCACGGAGCCGACCCACCAGTCATTACCGTACACCACCGAGTGGAAATCTGCTTCGGGTCGCCCGCAGTTCACTGGGGACAGGGAGGTTGCTGAGGGCAGTGCAGGGCTAGCACCCTGTGCAGCCCAAGAGCATGCACCCACATAAGGCTGTGGGTGTTGTGCAGGATCTGCAGGTGCCCCGGGACTGCTGGAGAGACTCCACACGTGCATGGCACACAACCTGCCCTCCCCAAGCTGGCTGTGCCAAGCTCTGCAGCCATCCCCAATCCCCCCCGCTATCCGTGCTCTGGCTGTACCTCTGCAGAAGGACTTGTATCCCAGCCAGCAGCAGCTGCCATTCCCACACTGGCTCCTCTTCAGCTCCTTGTGCTTTCCCTTGCAGCCTCCCAAACAGATGGGTGCTGTGCCAGACCAGTAAGTGTCCAGGTGTCCTGGTGCCATAGGGAGCAAGGAAGAGCAGGGTTGAGGCCAGGGACCACCCTTTCTGCCAGCTCCCCAGTCCTCAGAGATCTGCAGGGAGGTGGTACTAGCCCAGCAAAGGCTCATCCCAGCTCACACCCTGCTGTGGTGAGGAGTGCATCCTCTAGCAGCACCCAGCTCTTGTGCAGACCAGCTCCCACTTCCCCTGTGCTCACCACAGGGGCACGACAAAGGTCTTGCTCGCTGCTCCAAAAGACCAGTCCAGCCAGGTGCCAGCAGTGCTGGGCAGCCTGTAAAGCCCTCTTCCCCAAACACCCTGTTACCTTCTGGGTCCTCACAGGAGACCAGCGTGGCCAGCACGGCGAGGAAGAGGAGGCCCAGTCCCATAGCGCACACTCTGCCCTCCTCCCCTTATCCCTCAAATCAAAGGCCTCTCTCTACTTCCCCAGGAGAAAGTGAACTTGGTTTCCATGCTGTAGGACAAGGGGAAAGGGAGGAGACATTTCCTTTAATGCCAATCCTCTCCCCAGCAGATAATCTCTGGCAGATTACCCTCCCTGGATCCAGTGTTTAAAGGGACAACTCCTCCCAGTCACCACATCCTTGTCTTCACTCCCACCACCAAGCACTCACATTGTGAAGGAGCGCTGTAGTCCAAGATAATGCAGCTGCAGCTGTAGCTTTGGCCACAGAGCCCTGAGGCCCGCATGCTGGAAAGAGGGCCAAGCTGGAAGTACTGCAAATGAAACCTGGCAGAAGGCCATTCTCTCAAGGTATCCTTAATCCAGCTCTGCCAGGTACCGGGGAGCAAGAGCTGGGCAGAGGCAGGAAAGGTTAGGCAAGACCCAGCCATATCACTTCAGCAGCACAGGGATGCTCTACCCAGAGTTAGCAACATCCTCCTGCACTGTGTGCTGTCAGGGCTGCTGGGACAGACAGCTGCCTCCTACCCTGCCTCACCCTGAGCACAAGGTGCCCAGCCGACGGCCCTAGCTGTGTTCACATGGATTCAGCCCCAGGAAACCTTCCACACAGCTTGCAGCAGGCAGCTCTGCCCACTATCATCCCTGCTCCTTACCAGCAACTGCAGAGCACGCTGCCCCTCACTCAGAACACAAGCCTATGGGGCTGCTCTCATCACCCCATCCCAAGGGCACAGCCACAAATCACACCCAGCGTTTGTAATTGGAAAGTGAGCAGATGGCCAAGGGTTTAGTATAAAGTGATTTCCTCCATTAACCTGGAATTCCATCAGCTTTTGCTGAACTGCTTGAGAAGAGAGGGGAAAGTCAGCATTCAGCCCATATCAGCAGAGTGCTTTCCTGCCTTCATCTCAGCACATCAACTCCACACACAGGGTGATGAGGGTATCACTCCAGGGACACCAGCGTCATACTATCCTCATCCAATTCACTTGGCGAAGGGCAAGCTGGCTCTGCTCACAAGCCCAGACATCGCAGACAGATGACATTTACACCCTGAAGGAGACAGCAAAAATCAAACCCATGTAGGCAACAAGAGTGCCAGAGTGAAACCTGGCCTTCCAGGGCCACCTCTGGGACGTGGAACAACACACTCGCCAAGGCAGCTGCACCAAGCAGCAGAACAGAGGACACGTGAAGAGATCCTGGCTGCTCTTCAGTGCCCATCTCCTGCACTGCAGACTCCAGGCAACTGTCTCATCCTCTCACCACAACATGCCACGGCTGGCAGGGATGGGGCTGAAACAGACACCAAACACTGACTGGCTTAGCAGTCTTGACTTTTATTTGTCTTGCCAGAGAACACTTTGCCCAACCAGGAGCCCCAAACCCCAATGTGGGGAAGAAACCCAGAGAAGGACAAATGCAGTAAAAAAGCTTCCAATTCCCCAGTGCTGCATCAGCCTGCAAGGGACAGTACCTCCAGCCTTCTCCTCCCAGGGATCAATACAGCATAACGGGACCAGTGGTGCAAACACCACTGACAGCACCAGCTGAACAACCTAGAAGAGGTGATGTGCAGGGAAGTACTGAAGGCAAACAGAGAACATGCCACCCCTGGAGAACAAAGTATGGATCGTGGAGAACAGCTCTGCTATGCGCCACTCATCTCCCCAGGGAAGAGGCTCCAGCTGGTGTCTGCTCAGCACACCATCCTGCCTGGGGAGATCCTAGCTGAGGACCAAGCTCAGCAAGCGCTAACAACTTAGCTGCACAGCAGCAGGGACCACATCACCAAAGAGTGACCAAGAGGGGAAGCACTGTGACAGGCAAAGGCCAAACCTCCTGGAAGGGTGGGAGAGTCTTGCTAGTCCCTAATCCCCACAAGGAGGAGACGGACAGCTCTTTCCAGCTCAGGTCACTTGACCACAACTGAGAGACCTGTCCTTCCCCTCTCCCTGTGCTGACCAGAACCAGCAGCCACTGAGGTTGGGCCAGCAGAGGAGGAAATTCACCAGCTGCAGGAAGATGAAGAAAAGCTCAGCCCTATCCCTCAAGCACTTCTCAACCTGCCCCACCAGCACATCCCATGGAGGCCCAAGTTTTCCTCATGCAGAGAGGCAGGTAGCGCCTCACACGATCTGGATGCCCAGCTCCTCAGCTGTCTTCTGCAGACGGTCCATGACATTCTCCTCCAGCTCCATAGCCAGCCCATTGGCTGCTGCCACTTGCTCCTCTGAGGAGGTGCTGGCCATGACATAATACACAGTCTCAGTCTCCCCATGCTCGTTGGTCCTGTTCACCACATGGATGATGGGGTTGGGTGGGGCGCCTGGTTCTTTCCCCGATGACAGTGCTGCTCCTGCGAAGACACTGGGCCATGCTGGCTCAGGGCTGTCAGCACAGTGAGAGGTTGAGGGTAGCTGGGTCACCTGCAGCTCAGGAGCACAGTGTTCAACCGGTTGAGCCTCTCCTGAGGCCTCCAGAATGATGCCCTGCAGGTTGCCCTCACCCTCAGACAGCACCACACACTCAGTTGAGCCATCCAGTGCCTCACCCCGCTTCTCTCTGTCCTTCAGTAGCTGCTCTGTTAGCTCCACACTCTCGTAACGCACCAGCTGCAGCCTCATGTAGCCATCCTCATGTTCCTTGTACCTGAGCAGAGATAGGAAGGGGCACTGTGAAGTTGCACACTGGTTGCAACGGCCAGTACTTCATATATGATATTGTGCAAGTATGATAAAAACCCTAAAGTACATGGGTCTTGAGCACATTACAGGTAAATATCAGAGCCCAAGCACTGGCAGGCCTCTACTTCAGCAAGACACAGGATGTGGTTTCAGCTGTTTCTTGTACTAGAGAAGAGGTAATAAGAAGCTAAGGCTGGGCAGTACCTGAAGCGAGGATGTCCCGAGGGCCATTTGAACTGATGTTTCTTCCTGAGGTGGACAGTGAGGTTGTTTCCACGTGTGAAGCACTTGTCACAGACATGGCACTTGTACCGCGGCTCGAAGTCACCCTGAAGGGCAGAAAAAGGGATGTGAATACCCCATGAGCCTGATCAGTGGGCCTGGAAGGATGAATCATGTTCTACAAGAAGGCCGATAGGATGTACTATTGCAATAATAAGAGAGAAGTGCAACCTGACCTCACATTCCTACAGCCCTGCTCAGCCTGGGGTACTTCGCATGACTAGTTTTTTAATTCATGCTTCTGTACAGCATGTTGCACTAGCAGTTCTCACCCTCACTGGGAGACACTACACTGCAGAATAGCCCTCTGCTTTCTTTGTACCTCATGGACTTTCCGGCAGTGCAGTTTGATGGAGCAGGGGGAGCGTGCAGTGAAGCTACAAGCCTCAAACTCGCAGTGATAGGCTGGCTCTTTGCTGTGAGTTTCCAGATGTTTCCTCAAGTCAATGAGATTCTTGCAGCTAAAAGGAAATGATAAGAGAACAAAGTTGAACACTGTGAAGCACACACACACAGGTGCCTCTGGGCGGCAAGATGGAGAACCCTGGTCCTCACCTGTAGTCACAATAGTCACACTTGAATGGCCGCTCCTCACTGTGCCGAAAACGAATGTGATTGCGCAGGGAGGAGGGCAGTGGGCAGGTCATGTCACACATTGGGCACTTGTAATGGTTCACTGTGTGAAAGAGTGGGTGGAAAACATTACTGCAAAACAGGGAAGAGCACACACTCTTCATGGCCTCAGCTGGGAGAAGGGGTCTTTACTCACCATGGTTCCTCATATGGTCACGGAGCAGTCTCTCTGTGGCAAACCTCTTGGAGCAGTGAGAACACTGAAACCTCTGCTCTGCAGCATCAGGGGCAGGGAGAAAAAGGACAGGGTGGTGAGAAAAGAGATCAGAGCAGAGAGAACAGCACAAAGAACTGCAAGTGAGAAAAAGAGGCAACTGGGAACCCTCTCCAGGCAGAGACAGCAGACACTGACTACAAACAAAATCACTTGCAAAGACCAATCTGCTTCCCCTTCGCACAGCTTCCTTGTGCTGCCAGTGCAAGAGCTAGGGAGCAACCCATCACACACACACATCAGCACAGCTTGAGGGAACTCAACAAACAAATCCCAGTGCTGCTGCAAGAGCCCATCTGCTGCCTTTGACTTTGCCTGGGTCCTTACAGGATGAACAGCTTTGCCTGCAGCAGTGTCTGAGGTCCCAGCCATCAGAAAAGCCAGGCTGCTTCCAAGCACACTCATGCCCTTTGCTTACAGAGAACAGGCACCTCTAGGAAGCCAAATAACCCAGCCAGAGGACTGCTTACAACCCATCCACAGGAGCTTACGGTCCAGTGCAGTCTGACGGCGGATGTGGTCAAAGAACTTGGTGTTGTTGGCAAACATCCCCCCACAGGTAGGACAGGCCACCACCTTCTCCTGCGTGTGGCTGCGCAAGTGCTCCCGCAGTTTGCAGCGCCCCTTGAAGGTGCAGTCACAGTCTGAACAGAAGCAACAGAATGCCATTAATGGATTAAGATCCTTCACACATGGGCCACCATCTGCAACCTGACTGAATGGCAGGCTTCTTGCTTCTGTTTTGGTTAGCAAAAATCAACTCCAAAAAGCCCCCAGAGAAGAGTCACAGCAGGATGAGATCACTAAGCGAGATCATTAATGTGATCCCTAATGTTCCTGGACAACATCTGCAACTCAGCCCTGTGCAAAGCTCTCTAGAGAGGCCTTGCATGCACTCACTAACCTTTCCAGCCACAGAGGACCACATGGTTCTCCTTCCCTCTTGCCTTGTACTCTGAACAGAAGCTGTGATCCTCCACGTGCCGATAGAACCACTCGGGATTATCAAATGATCTCTGTTGGGGAGCAGGGACAAACAAAAGAGGGTGAAGAGATCAGCCTGAGCACAACAGGCTCTTTCACACAGGTACAAATACAGGCAGGCACGCAGGCGAGCTGCAGGACAAAAGCAGCTCTCCTTCCCTTGGCTGCACCAAAGATGAAATATACGAAAGCAAAACTGGGTTCTCTGTTCTCACCTCGCAGTACTCCCAGAGGCACAGGAAGTTTTCCTGGATCTCAGGGATGATATTGCGGCTCTGGAAATCCAGCTGGCAATGGCTCACATCTGACTGGCTCTGCAGGGCCCGCAGCCCCCACTGCTTCAGCTTGGTGTGGTAGCAGTGGAAATAGACGTGGCGAGTGAGGTCAGCTGAGCTCTCCAGGGAACAGAAACCGCATTCCTGCCACAAACACGTGTATTCCTCTGCAACAGGCAGATATTAATGAGAGATGACATTTACACCCTGAGAAAACAGGAAATATTCATGCTCTAACAGCCTGGTGGAAACTTTCCAAGTAAAGCTCAGGTTGCAGCACACAGAGAACACCACAGCTCTTTTCATGCAGTCCAGCAGCAGCAGCGCTGCTCTCCTCGGGGACAGGGGGATCCTCACACAATGCAATAGCTCATACAAGTGGGAGAGCAGCGGTCGAGGCTGCCAGCGCCTTACCGAGAGGGTCCATCTCGTCCCGGCGCTCCTTGGCAAGGTGCTGCTGCAGGTGCTGGGCCACATGCTCGCAGAACTCCTCCATCTGCGAGGCCACGTACGAGCAGAGCTGCCATTCGCACTGCAGCACCAAGGCACCCTTGCCGCCGGCCTTGGCGGGCGCCATGGCCGGGGATGCAGCGCGGCGACGCCGAGGGCTCACCGCACCGCCGCGGCCACGAGCTGCTCCGGCGTTGCCAGCAGGCCTCGGCGGCCCCGCACCGCCCGGAACCGCGGGGCCCAGCGGCACCGAAGCGGCGGCCAAAGCCGGCGGAGCCCCGGGCAGAGCGGAGCGCTGGAGCGGCCGCACTCTGCGTCCGGCTCTGCCCCGCCGGGGGGCGCCGGAACCCAACGGACTGCACCGCTCCTCCAATAGCGGCTGCCCCTCCGAGCCGCAGACCAATCACCGCGCAGGAGCTGGAGGCGCGCGTACAGCGGCCGAGAGGGCCCGCTGGAAAGCGGAGCTGGCTCACAAAGGTTCCGGCCCCCTTTGGGGCTGACCTGCGAGCGAAGTCGTTTTGGGATTAAAGCACGTTTGGTTATGGTAACATTTGGGTTCGCTGCTGCCACATAGGTTAATTTCTTGTCGCTTCAGAATGCTTCCTTCTCTAAACAAGAGAGTTCTCACAGTGCAAAACTGCGGTCAAAAGCCGCATGACTGAGCATGCCAGCCAAGCGCCGAGCACAGAACGCATCAGGATTGCAGCTCCTGCTGTGAGATAATGCAACATATTCTCTTTACTCAGTAACTGAAATGACAGTTTGAATTAAACAAATATACATTGACCATTACAACTGCTGTGCCACGCTTTTGTAACACCAAATGGAGACACAAAACTCAAAGTTTGCTTTGGCACAGGTAAATGCCACGCTAAATCCAACTAAAATTGCATAAAATGTGCCACAAAGCGTGCCTTTCTAACACACAATGGCTTCTGTAATTCCTGTCATACACACCAGCTCTCCCCTCTGATGTGAATGGGAAGTACGTGCTGAAATTGACTCAGTTAGAATCTGGATCTGTTTGTTGGGGGTTTAGTAGCATTATTATTTTATCTCCATTTATTTGTTTTCTGCAGGATCTGTTGCTTTCAATGTAATTATTTTGTAACCGGTGCAGAAAACACCTGGCCAGGGTAGACAGTGCAAAGCCATGAGCTTGAATGGGACTGGGATTTAACCTGTGTATCCTAAAGAAAGTATATAAATATCCAGCGCAGAAGACAAAACTATCTGGGAAGCCTGCCAGGAAGCAGGTGGCAAACTAAGCCTCCTGCTGATAAAGTGCAGACAGCCCTCTTCTGTTGGACTTCACATCTGCCCACACATCCCCAACCTGCCTGGTGCTTCCTGCCCATTCTATTACCTGTCAGCCAAACCCAAGACACCTGCGGGTACCAGGATTGGGTGGCTAAGAATGGATGGACCACAATAGGACTTGTCTTATGTAAGGGCATATATGCATGGTAAAAGAGTCGGCACACAGTGCCTTGATTGTGTGATGTCCTCTTGGTCCTGAGCTCCATGTCTGAGCAGGCAGAATACCCGAGTGGTTCTGCAAGTTAAGAATACTGGGAATTATTCAGGATGTTATTTCAGCTCTGCTTTCTCCACTTGCCTCAATGGCCTGAGTAGATGCAGCCTTTGCCAGCTGCTGTTCTTTGCATTTCAAGTTCATATGGCAGGCCAAATTAATCTCTAGGCCAGCACTGGGCAAAGTACACAGAGTTACAAAGAGGAACAGATCTTACCTAATAGTCCCGCAAGCTGGCAGCAGACTCCACAAAAGGAGAAATATTTAATAATGAAGAACAGATTGGCGCCAGTCTTGTCCTGCTCATGTAAAATGAGCACAGCAATGCTGTGCCTGCTCTGCTTGTACACAAAATGCTCTAGAGATCATCTGCCTCACCAAAAACCTATCCTCAGCGTATTGACAGGTTGTGCTACCCGTGCTGCAGGGAAAATGGCTTTCTTACAGCAAATGTGGATGTTTCAGAACTAGGATACAAGCTACTAGGCTTAAATAAGAATTTAAGGCTTAACTCTGCTTCTTGTTTTGCAGAAACAGTCTTGCTACCATTTGGAGGCTGGGAACAAAGGAATGGTTATAGCAGGCCTGGCCAAAAGTCCCTTTAATCTGGGTCTAGCAGCATTGTAAAAACAGGTCATTTCCTGGCTGCTGTTTCCCTTCCTGGCATCTCAGTGGAGACTAATCTCAGACTTTCTGAAAGAGAACCCCTTGCTTGATAACTAAGAGCCAAACTCTGCTTCCCCCCCCGCCACCAGGAGCCTGTTGGGTTGCTAAAGGATGCTCCAGCTGGTCCCATGAGCACGTATCCCTGGCTGAGTGTTACTCCTCTCCCCACAGGTGCTCTCAATGATATGCAAAGCTTCCTGGGTTCACAGTGTTCAAAGACCCAGTTTTAATTGCGTGATGCAGAAGAGACCGTACTACTCTCAGAATAAGCCCCGCTGTGTTCATCTTCAACAGCACATGGGTATCTCACACTTACACATGACAAGATGCTCTTGTCCCAGGCCTTGCTTTTCCAGCCAGGTTCCTCACCTGTAAGGCCATGGCCCATCGCTGCAAAACATACCAGCCTTTCACTTTAACCTAGGATTTTTCTGTTGGTAAACTTCAGTTTTCATCCATGAAGTGTCTGCTCAGACAGGAAAGGGACTCTTTGGGAATGATCCGCACTGACCATGCAAATTGGAGTGAAACACACATCAAGAGATTTGCATTTAAGCAAATCCCAAACAAGGTATCATGGAGACATCACTAAATTGTCAAAAACATATTTCCATCAGGCTCAACTGGATCTTTACCAGTGGAGTATGAGCACAGACTTCACTCTGCGCTGGGAGGTTCATGACAGACAGCCCTTCTACAAACTCCTGCAGAGTCCAAGAGCTGGGACTTGTCAGCAGTGACAATGGAAACAGGTGAGTTTCAGCGCCTTTTCACAAGCGTAAATAGAAGCCTCTATGGAAATATCAGCAAAAGAACATACCATGTTGTCCTTAGGCTCATTTTAAAATCAGAAAGGATTTTCTAAAATTGATTTGTGGCATCTTTAATGTCACAATAACTTAATAGCATCTATTAGCATGTTCTGCCTTCACTAGGCTGAATTTCTATTCCTTCACAATGCAGCACTTTCCCAAAATGAGGTTAGATCAAAATGATATGATTCAATTTGCCTGAAAATTATATAAACTCAGGCCTAAATGAGCATTCTCTTCCCCAGTGCTGGCAACAGCAGAGTTATCTGGAGTTTCAATTGCTCAGCATCAGATCCTGATAAATAACTCACAGAAAGCAACAGGTTTAGTTCTGTGGGGCTGGACTGCTAAGTTAAAAACAGGGCTAGAGGGCAGAGCCATTACTTTTATTACTTCTGAATTTGAGCAGAGGAATAACTGTGAGCGCATAAGTGAAGTAACTTCAAGAGCACCCATGTGTAAAAGTAAGGATGTGTGGAAGTGTTTGTCTAATGTCTTTAGACCATAGTAAATACATTAGGAAAACAGGACTGCAGAAGTGCAGAGCATCAGACACTTTCTAGAACAGGTCACAGAGAAGCAAGTTCAGTTCATACAGAGAGGCTGTGGGATTTGGCAGTATCAGACTGCAGAATAAATGAAGAAAAGCTGCTCACAGCTTTTCTAGCGATGCCATTTTAGAAATATTCCCATTCTAAAAATTCAACATAAGGCTTGGCTTCAGTGCTTCTCCAGAAGTTCTCTGCTAAATCAAGGCCTGAATCTTCAACTGGATGCAGCTAGCAAAGGCTGCACAATTTATCACAGGTGTGAAACCACGATGGAACTCAATGGACTGTGCTATACAGTTGAGACTTTTCCATCAAATATCAACACTCTTATCTCTAAATGAATTCTTATGCAAAGGTGCAACGTTTCTGCTATGGAAAGCATAGCTATTTCTGCCAGTTATGCCTGCTCTTCCACAGCTTTCGAGCTCCAGCTACATGTGCACACCAGGTAACCATGCTTCCTACTGCTCTCAGCAAGACAGCCCTGGAAAGGGACTACAGGAGGGAGATTTCTGCTATGGGCTGTCAAAAAAAGCCAGATTCAGTATAGAGATTCCTCTCAGCTGCAAGGATTGATACCCATTCCAGCCATGTCCTAGTCTGTCCACAGATGCTCACTGGTTCATATTCAGACTCAGCATTCACCTCTATTTTGATCATAAGCCTTTTGGGGTACCGTCTCTTGCAACATATTTGCCTTCTGCCTAGTCTTGGCTGAAGTCTCTGCTCTTCCCTTTCTAACCTCTCAATGTCCATGGGCACCTGGGGCCACAATGCCACATGAATGAAAGCGATAAATGGAGCCAAATGACGCATCCTGAAAAGCAGAAAGGCAAAACGATAAAACACAGTTTTAAAGATCAAACACATCAGCTGTGGAATGTCTGCTTGTGTTCCCTTCAGAGGACACGGCTGTGTGTTTTCCAAGGGATTAGCTTCAAATTAAGCTCTTCTCTGGAAGATCTCAATAAAAGCCCATATGGACATCCCTCCCTGGCTCCACAGGTGTGGGATCTCTGTTCAGGCATAGCCTGCTAGCCAAGATAAAAGAGCTGTTCCTAGTATTGTACCTTGCACCTCTCTGCCCTCACTTGTGCCAAAACACCTGTACGCAAGGCAGATCTTGCAAAGCTTTATCCTGGCAGAGGAAGAGGACAAATGCCTCATACCCAAAGTCACACAGACCCTATAGACAGGTTGTGCTGTAATCCAGTCAGGTGAAGAAAATGGATCCTGGCCTGCCATCAGCCTCTTGGGTGACATGGCCAAGACACTGTACCCCTCTTTGTGCCTTCCTTGATAACCTTGATAAAACAATAGAGTCCCAAAGTGCCTGTCTGTATTCACTGTGGATACAAATCACACTGAGCAGACAGTTCCTTTCTCTTTGCAGAGATCTGCACTGTGATTCACATCACTGTTCACAGGAGCCATTCCAGCTCCCTGGGGTATTTCCACCTTTGCTGCGCTGACATCAAAGCTCACAGAGCGATGTGCTGAAAGCCAGCAGCTCCAGAAGGGCAGGGAAGGGCTAAACCAACACCACCTCTGCTGAAAGCAGTAGGGATGTGCAGTTAAAGCAAATTTTACTGACCCAAAGAGGAAACATAGGACCCCCCAGAGCTCTCTTTGGAAAAACCAAACCCCCTCAGCCAGTCATATCTGACACAGAGGGATGTGCATGGAAACCACATGGCACCCAGTGCTGAAATACAAGGTAGGGCAAATGAGTAGGCCTGGGTGTTTGGCTCCTAAGGGATGATTTTATATTAATAATAGCAGTCTTATGTGCTTCCTTCCTAACTTGTCATACAGAGGAAATGAATTTGCTTCTTCCATAACAACCTCCTCCAGCTGCTCTATGCTTTCAATAAACTCCTCTAATGCCCATTTCATTTCCTCAGTCCCTACAGATTTTGGCAAACGGGTGTACCAAGGAGTGAGGGTGAAGCACACAGTCAAGGACCTTCTTGCTGAGAAACGATCCAGGCACAGCAGTGCCTCCCACTTCAGTGTAAGTCACTTTGCATTCCACCACCACACAGCCCTTTTTCCGAACCAGAAAAGTCATGTCATGCAATCCTCTGGTTTAAAGAGCATTTATGCTGAGTTCAGGGCATCGCCAACATTGACCTAGAATAGCAAAAACCATTTGCAGCGTTCGTGTTTGCCCTGAAAGATCACAGATGTCTCCCTGATTTTTTGCATTAGTGAACCTTTGAGGGACTGAAGTCCTTTGGCTGTTTTTCCCAAGCAGATCAGTAATGCTGAATTTCTCATTCCTTCCACATCCTGCATATGACACCCTTCCAAGTCAACTTCCTTTTTCACTAGCTACACTCAACTCAGTGCCACAAAAATAGATGTTCTTCCCAGAATGCTGTGCTGCTTCCAGCTCCTCTCTGGCATACTAGAGTGCCAGAAGAGATGCAGTGATTTTATGGTCTGGAAAGAGGCCAAGCATCAGTTTGTTAGAGATGATTTCTTCTTAAAGTGGTTCTATAGCAACAGGAAACCTAAATTATAGTGCACTATGTTGTTTTTTCTCAATCACTAGCCAGAGAAGCAGTGCTGTGCACAGAAGACACAATATTGCAGGTGCCAGCACATGGCATCTGGTAGCACAGTAAGCCGTTCTCTGTGTACTCTTGAGACTCACCTTTACCAAACAGCAGCACCTCCTTCCAGGCTGATTGGGAGCAATGTGGCCTTCTGACAGATGAGGAGATGCAGTCAAGCTGCTGAAACTGTGTCCTGGAAGGAAAGGGCAGGAGCAAAGACACAAATGGCTGGCAGCAGAACACACAGTGTTAATGCTCTTTCCCCCCATCCACTTGCCTCAGGGTTTTTGCTTTCAGCAAAAAACAGAGACCTCAAAGGGACTTCCAAGTTTGTTTTTTTTTTCACTGTTACTTTCACATGTTAACTCTGTGACAAAACAGGCAGAAAGCCAGTTTGGGCACTACCAAACACAGCAAGATCTAGCCATAGATATCTTCACAGCCTTCAGCTAACTGCAGAAATGCAGAAGACTGCCCTGAGCCATGGACAGTCACTGGGAAACACATGCTCCCACCAGGAGGCATTTGGGAAGACTGCTTTGGAGAGCAGCAGGAAGCAAGTGTTGTGTTTGTGCTCACTGAGACAACAGATCCTGGTTGATGACTATCATGTTTACCTGCTCTCTTTATGAAGAAAGCAGCTTCAACAGCTGCAATAAAAAGCCCTAGGAACTGTAGACCACTTGCTGCTTGCTTTATTACACTTTGCTTTGTATTCCAAAGCTTAGCAGTTGTGTATCAATCTAATGCAATATCAGCCCTGTTACTAATTCCTTACAAGGCACAAAAAATTATTGTGCAGGGCAAATGTCTGTATTTGCTTGAATGTATCATGAAAAGAACAGCTGTAAGTGCAGCTCTGTTCATGTGACATAATATAATCCCGAATCAAGCAGCAGATAACTGAACACCCCTTTGTGTATTTATGATGCTGTGTAATTTAGCTGCATCTATTGTTTGAACATGATGTTTGCTCCAAAATCGGTAAACCGCTGTTGTGCAAGGGGAGGTCTATAGAGGAGATTCATGATGCTAAGGAAAGGGCATTGCTCATCGGAGGTGAGCCACTGGGCTGTTTACTGAAGCAGCAGAACAGCAACAATTTCATGACAACTAGTCCCTGCATACATCAAATCACAAGAAACCAGTGTGTATTGTGATGAAATCCACACAGTTTGGGCTTCTGAGTTCGCATCAGATGCAGGGCAGAAGGTCCTGGGCTTTAGTGAAGATCTGACTTGTTTCCCACTGTAGGCATGAAACCAGCATTTGCCCTCTGCAGGATTACCTTCTTTCCTCAGGTGAGGAAGCTGCTAGGTACACAGATGTAGCGCTATGCCCAGCAGGACTCAGAGGCCAGGGGTGGATCATTCTCCATACTTGCCATCAGCAAACCAGTGAGGTGCTCTGCCTAGGCTCAACTTTGCTTTTACTGTTAATGTCTTTTCCTCCAGCTGCTGTGCTACAGGTTGGGTCTGGAGATGAGATACACTGAAGCCAAAGTACAGTCAAAGGGCACCATAGAGCCCCACTGCAGGACCAGGTCATTATTTTGACCTGCAACCTTATGTTTAGGCCCCCAAGGCAGCCTTGTAGCTGAACAACGCTCCCAGGTTACCAAGGCAGTGAAGCAACACAGCTCTCTGGAGTACCCCTAACCAGTATAT